AGGAAAGAAAAAAGAAATAAATGGGAAAAAAGAAAAAAGAAAAAAGAAAAAAGAAAAAAGAAAAAAGAAAAAAGAAAAAAGGAAAAAGAAAAAAGGAAAAAAGGAAAAAAGGAAAAAAGGAAAAAAGGAAAAAAGGAAAAAAGGAAAAAAGGAAAAAAGGAAAAAAGGAAAAAAGGAAAAAGGAAAAGAAACAAAAAAAAAGAAAAATAGGAAACAAGAAAAAGGAAGAAGCAGCCGCCGCCCCCTCCCCTCGGCAGGGCCTCTAGCTACAGGGTTATGTACAAGGGGTGCGGGGCCCCCCGGTGCTGCCGCCGCGGCCCCCCGGGCCGCTTTACCGCGCGGCGAGGGCAGTACAAAGGCAGGAGGGGGCGCGGGGGGCCGCGGGGGGCCGCGGGGGGCCTCGACGGCCGGCTCGGTGAGCAGCGCGCACGGGTCGCTCAGCATGGCGAGCCCGTCCAGCGTGAGCGGCTCGATGCGCAGCTCCTCGTCCAGCCCCAGCGCCGCCGCCGCCTCCACCTCGAAGCCCGGCACGGCCGCCAGCGCCGCCGCGATCTCCCTCGAGAGCCCCGGCGGGGAGTCCCCTGCGCGGGGAACGGGGAGGGGACATGGAACGGGTCACCGCAGAGCACGATGTCCCCCCGGGACCCCTCTCTGCCCCGTGGTGCAGGGCTGGCATCGCCACCATACAACCACCCAGCCAGGGTCCGGTGCGCCCCTCAGCCTGTCCCCAGGCTGCCCAGGGATGAGCCCAGCCCCGCATCTCCCCCCAAAAAGCACCATTGTGGGGACGGGGCCACCCCAGGACCCCCCTCTCTCCCATCCAACCTACTCCCGAGGTGCCCAGGGATGAGCCCAGCCCTACATCTCCCCCAAAAAGCACCGTTGTGGGGACACGGCCACCCCGAGACCCCTTCTCTCCCCTCTAATCCATCCCCGAGACGCTCGGGGACGACCCCATCCCTGCATCCCCCCCAAACCCCAAGCGCAGGGACAGAGCCGCCCCGGGACCCCTCTCTCCCATCCACCCCACCCCCGAGACCCTCGGGACCGTCGTCCCGCGGAGCCGGGCGCCCACCTGTGAGGATGATGTTGGGCACGGGCGCGTGGCGGGCGCAGTGGGGCGGGCCCGGCCGGGGCGGCGCG